CACCGAAGCCTCCAGCGCGAGGGTCTGCATGGCAACGCCGCCCAATTTCGGTACGCCCCTCACACGCTTCGTGGCCCCATAGGGAGCTCCACCGAAGGCCCCAGCGGGAGGGTTCGCATGTCACCGCCGCCCCATGCCGGCACACCCCTCACACGTTTCGTGGCCCCATAGGGAGCTCCACCGAATGCTTCCGTGGAAGGGCCCGCATTGCACCACCGATTTGCCCAGCGCGTCGCTCGCCCCCGTCGTCGGTCAGTCTGCTAGCTCTCTGTGCTCCGCGCAACGGTCGACCCGCACGCGTCGCCGGGACCCCTTCGGGGCGACCAGCGCGCGTCGCGGGGACTCCATGCGGCGCCGCGCCCGCAGCCGTGGACATGGGCGTGCACGGGCAAAGAGGGAAACAAATAACGGGAAGGACGCGGGCGCGATTCTCGTGAGGGGCGTGCCGCCATGGGCGTCGACATTTGTGTACGTAGACTCACGCGCGCGCAGACTCGTCCACAGTCAGACTCACTCGTTCTCACACTCACCCGCTCTCAGTCTCTCGCACACTGACCTATCGTCTTCGCACATGTTGTGCGCCCCGCCACGCATTTCGGCACGCCCCCCACGCGGTTCGTGGCCCCATAGGGAGCGCGGGCGAATCTGATATTCACAACTGCGGTATTCATAACAGCACATGGTTGGGTCCTTCGCCAGGCGAATTTTTTGATAGAGATGGTTGGCCTACGCGCGGCGAACATTATTACGGCACCCCCCGTCCCTGTCCAAGGCCAATACAAAGTGGCCGCGGGGCGCCCGCGCACGCTCCAGATGGTGGTACAGTGCATTTTGTATTGTTCCCAACCATCCTGCGGTGTTGGGTTCTGATTTTGAAGAGACAGCGCCCCGCGTTCACCTTCTTCCTCTCCTCCTCCTCCTCCTCCTCCTTCTCCTCCTCCTCCTCCTCCTCCTCCTCCTCCTCCTCTTCTTCCTCCTCCTCCTCCTCCTCCCTCCCCCCTCCCATCCGTGCCTCCGCCCTCCGCATGTCCACCATTTCGGCACACCCCTCACACGTTTCGTGGCCCCATAGGGAGCTCCACCGAAGGCTCCAATGGGAGGGTTCACATGGCACCACCGGACCCAACTCGGCACATCCCTCACACGCTTCGTGGCAACATAGGGAGCTCCACCGAAGGCTCCAATGGGAGGGCTCGCGTGGCACCACCGCGTCCAATTCGGCACACCCCTCACACGGTTCGTGGCCCCATAGGGAGCTCCACCGAAAGCTTCAGTGGGAGGGTTCGCATGGCACCACCGCACACAGTTCGGTCAATTAGGGGCTTCCTCACACGGTTGTTCGTGGTCCCATAGGGGGTTCACCGAAGGCTTCAGTGGGAGGGCTTGCGAGGCACCACCGCGCCCATTTCGGCACACTCCCTCACACTGTTGTTCGTGGTCCCATAGGGAGTTCCACCGAAGGCTCCAGTGGGAGGGCTCGCATGGCACCACCGCGCCCAATTCCTGCACTCCCTGACACGGTTAATCGTGGTCACATCGGGAGTTCCACCGAAGGCTCCAGCGGGAGCGTTCGCATGGTACCACCGCGCCCAATTTGGCACACCCCTCACACGGCTCGTGGCCGCACAGGGAGTTCCACCGAAGGCTCCAGTGGGAGGGTTCGCATGGCACCACCGCGCCCACTTCGGCACACCATTCACACGATTCGCGGTCCCATAAGGAGTTCCACCGAAAGTGGTACCCACAATGCGGTACGCGCACCTGCATATGGTTGTTTTTTGTCAGGCTAGTTTTTGCCAGGGATGGTTGGCTTCCGCGTGGCGAGCAATATGACGGCACGCCCGCCGTCCTTGTCAAAACCACAGAAAAAACAATGCAAAGGGGTCGCGGGGCGCCCGTGTAAGCTCTGAATGTACAGGCACAGTGTATTGTGATGCTTTTTGTTGACAGGGATGGTTGGCTTGCGCGCGGCGAGGAATATGACAGCACCCCCGCCATCCCTATCAAATACCATGCAAAGTGGTCGCGTGGCGCCCGCGCATGCTCCAGACGCATGTATCCGGTTGGCCCACAGTCGGGTGGGGGAGGGGGTTCATCAAGCTAGGTGCGCTCGCGTCATATCTGACATCCTGCCCCTCCCTCCCATCCCTTACCATGGCGCAGATCCCCTCTCTACTCGCTCAGTCGGATGTCGAGCAGGGCAATGATCCCGAAAGGGTAATCGATGCATTGTAGAGCACGGCATGGTATGGCGTAGAAGAGCACCGCAAAGCGTAGTATCAACCTGGCATTGCATTGCATGCCGTGGCATGGCACGGGAAATGACGCCAGCGCTGCAGCGGGAGCACGAGTCGAAACGAGCGGAAGCGCGGAAATGAGGCCAGCGCTGCAGCGGGAGCACGATTCGGAACGAGCGGAAGCACGGAAATGAGGCCAGCGCTGCAGCGGGAGCACGATTCGGAACGAGCGGGGCCCGAAAATGAGGCCGGCGCCTCAGCGAGAGCAGCATTTTGAAAACAAATGCAGGCGAAAGCCCAACTCCGGGGAAACCTGTGTGTAAAAAGACAGTACGCGGGGGGGGGGGTCGAGCACTTTCAAACCGTCATCAGGGGAAGAGGGAGAGTAGTATTCATATTGAGTAATTGTATAGGGGCAATGATCAAGACATCCTCCCTGCCCGCAAGCTGTCTCGCTCGCTCCCACCCGCCCTCCCAACACATACGTAGCACCCGAGCCTCAGCACGTTCAGCGGTTGTCAATAGATGGGCAACTCGTGGAAACCAACACAGACCGCATGTGCGCGACGCTGGGGCGAGTTGCGCCACGCGTGCCAGGTGTGCCTGCCGCGCCACACGCACCAGGTGCGCCAGGCACGCCTGGGGTCCAAGCGTGGGAATAGGAATGGGTCATGGGCGGGAAGTCTGCCTGCTGCCGCGGCGGCAAAGACGGCCCAGTCGCCCTCGAGCGGCCACAGCCCTTCGGCCTTGGCCTCCTGCTTGCTCGCCTGCACTCCCGAGCCCATTCAACCGCCGAATCGGGCGAAACAAAACCGTGCAGGCGAGCAACTTGGGCCAGATCCAGGACGGGAGCAGACACCCCGCAGTGTATGGAAGTTGACGCGTTCCCTGGACCCAACAGAGGGCCGAACCCCAGGGGGCCCGCACGCGAGCCCTGGCGAAGGCCCAGCCACAAACGAGGGCCCAACACCACCGCCCCCAGACGGCACAGCACTGGGCCCCATCAGCTCCCCGTGGAGCCAGACAACACCCTCATCCCCAAGGCCTTTAATGCAGACAGCCTAGGAGGAGGGTGAGGGGCCGAGGGGTGAAGAAACCCCAGGCATACGCAAGCGAGACCCTTACCAGGGGAGACCCTTTGGCCAACCGGCGCCCCGCAGGCTTTACAGAAGCACAAGCGCTGTCCCTCAGGCACCTCAACATCACAGTTGACGACCGAGTGCCCTTGAGACAGCCACGGCCACCCAGAAAGAACCCCAAGCTCACCCCGCCCACAGCAGTCGGCACGGGCTCGGGCACTGGCGGGAATGGGGCTGGGGCTGCCTGCTTCCAACCGGGATCACCTCGAGCTTGGAGTGCCGCCTCCAGGCTTGCCGCTTCTGGGTCAGCCGTGCCATATCCGAAGTCCAGGACGGTGTCTCAGGTGCCTACGACACCTTCAGCATCCCAGACATCATTATCCCCGATCCAGGCGTGGACGAGACATATCCGCTTCGCGAGCATGCCACACGCCTCAACAAAGAAAACCCTGTCTGGCGGTGTCCTCCAAAGCATGTTTGTTTTAGCCCAACGGTCCGCAAGACTATTGCCGCACCTGCTCCAAGTGTAAAAACTTACACACATCTCTCGAGGCCGTGGCGTGGCCTGATACCTTTTTGATTGTCGCGCTATCACCGTGCTTTTGCCATCACAACTCCCAGACGTGCTTGCCTGGGTTCGTCAGGCCGAGGGCGTTGCAGGCATAGCGCAAACGAGATGGTGCCAAGGCAGTCCGAAAACAACAGTGAGCGCGCCGCCAGTGGTAGGCTCCACATAACATCTGTCGAGCATGTGAAACGTGTAGTCCGTGGTATCCCTGGAGGACTGTGAAAGCGACCAGGTGAGAAGCACATCACCGTACATCCCGCATCTGAGCGACCCGTCATCATTGATGGCAACGACTGCCCATCCAGCACGGCGCAGACCCCCGTACTGGGTAAAAAAGGAGGAGCCGATATCTCACACATCCAACCTTCGAACAGCCATCCAGGCATACACTCCACGAAGAGGACTTGATTAGCCTCTGGGGTATCTTCATACTGAACTGCATGCACAGGCGAGGGAAGCAGCCCTCTCGCAAGCAGCACTAGGCTCTCCCTCACGCGCAATGACTCCCGCTGCACTGAGAAGCTCAGGCGGTCAGAACTTTCGGCGAAGGAACTCCGTGCTGGGGCAGTCGAAGCATCGGTGCCAGAGAGTGCCTCTCGCACCACAACGGGTGCAACAGCTGTGAATTGTTTCGCCTTTGGCATGCGAGCGGCTTTGGCTCCAGTGAGCCCCGCTATGGATCCAGTGGACCTCGGACCCCCACGGGCTCCCCAATCTCCTCAGAGCAGTGGCATCAGAAGCAGCACACGCAGAGGCACGGACAACCCTGCACGCTGTTCCAAGCGAACAAAAACAACAGGTCGATCCCGCGCTGGCAATGATCATGCCACAGACTGTTCGTTTTGGAGGCCCCTCGTCGCCACGTTTGGATTCTCCTTGAAACTTCAGTCAGAACGCGCCCCACGGCGTTCGTGGAGTAGTTGTATCGGTGCCTTTCTCTCATCCGGGATATTCCGCCGATCCGATGCGGCCCGATGCTCGATGGCGCCGATGTGTATCCAAGCGCGGCTGGTCGGATGCGATTCCAGCCCCGTGCTGACGTGGCCCGGCCCGACGCGCACTCCCATGCGATCTGGTTTTCCGACGCTGGCTGGTCCTGCGCCCGCACCCGCCCAGGGCATCACCCCCCGCTCCGTCATCATGGCCCTCACCACGGACCAGGTGTTCCGCCTGTCGAAGGCGACCCGGACGCGGGAGGCTAGCGAGCGGTTGGAGCCAGCTGGGGTCTGAGGTGGCCTAGCACTGCTTCCCGCGAGCAGGAAGGAGGGAAGCGGTTCGAGGTTCTAGGTTCGGGGATGTTTTTTTTGCCTCGTTCGGTCTCCGGGGGCTGTTGTTTTCGGGCCTCGGGGCCAACAACAATGGATCTGGGGTGAACAGCCGCACCAGATGGACAGATTTTGAGCGGGTTTGCCTTGATCCTCCCTTCTTGGGGCCCATGCAGCTCAGACCTCCCGGCCGCTTCTACGCGAGCGGCAGCTGTGCTGCTCGCCGTCAGAGGGGTGGAGAAACGGAGGGCTGGGGGGCATGGAGACCAGAGACGCCTGGGTTCGAAGATGAGCAAAACGGCATTAACTCCGCTGTCTTGACACGCCCGTTCCGAAACGCAACACGTACCGTGTTCAAAACGTCCGTGTTAACACGCTGCGTGCGCTGGCTCAACGTGTTGGCGAACGCATCCCGCCAAACGTACGTTTTCAATCTCTGTGTTGAGCTCTGTGTCAACACGCTATTTGCGTATCGGGGCAGCGAAGCACACAGACTTCCGGAGGTCTGCGTCGGTTTCTTGCATTGGCGCTGGTCTTCCCTCCCTGGCGCGCGGAGCGCGCTGGAGGCGCCGCCAGGGGGGTCCAGTGCCGGTGCAAGAGTTCCGCGCGAACCTTCGACAGTTCATGTTTCTGTGGTGTGCGTATGTAATCATTATTTTATTGGTGGGTGTTGCGGGCACGAGCTGTGGGTGGGACTCAGGCAAATAGCTGGGCCAAGGAAGAGGTGAGCGGTGAGTCCACAGCGGCCGTGGACTGTGGGATAGAGGAAGGATCGCAGCGTGCTTGTCTATCCCGGAGGCGAATCCGAACCCTACCCTCGCCGATCAACGATTCAGCCAACTCGATGGGCGGCGGGGGTAGGGTTCGGAATCCGTCGAACACGTGGCAAAATCCAAACCTTACCCTGGCCTCCCATCGATTCAGGAGAGTCGATGGATGGGGGGGTAGGGTTCGGTTGTCGCCACCCACTATCGGAGACGCATACGGCGACATCACCGCCGCCTCCTGCCTTCTAGGATACGTCTATGTGGCCAGTCGTTTGAGTAAAGTTTGGCCACATGCCTTCCCCCATCCGATGTGGACGTCCTGCGGAACACGTGGGGGAGGAAAATGAGGATGAGGAGAGGGAGGGAGAAGGAGGAGGAGGAGGAGGAGGAGTAGGAGGAGGAGAAGGATGCGGAGACCTTGAGAGCTTCTTGGGCCATTCTTGGGGCCTCCTGGGAGCTTCTGGGAGCCTCTTGGGGGCCTCTTGGGGGCCTTTGGGGGCTTTGGGGTGGCCTCTTTGGCCGTCTGACGGCGTTCCTGGCCCGTCTGACGCCGTCGGAAACCATTTTGGGAGCTTCTCTGGGCAATCTTGGGGCCCTCTTGGGGCGCTCCAGGGTTGTCTTGAAGGCCATCTTGGGCGCCTTGGAGGCCCCTTGGGCCGTCTTGAGGCCTTTGGGGACCGTCTCGGGAGCCTTTCGGGCCGTCCTGAGGCCATCTTGCGCTCTTGGGGTGATCTTGATGGCCATTGATGGCCTCTTCGGCCGTCTTCGGCCGTCGGACGCCCGAAACGGAGCAAACGCCACACCATCCTTCAACACCAACGACACATCACTGATTTGGGCCTTTCGGGCCTTCCTGTGGGTCCTCTTGGAGGCCTCTTTGGGGCTTCTTAGGGCGTCTTGGGCCATCTTGAGGCCAGCTTGGGAACTCTTGAGGCCATCTCGGCCGTCTTGGAGACATCTTCGGGAGGCCATCTCGAGCCATCTTGGACGTCTCGGAGGCGTCTTGGAGGCCATCTTGGCCGTCTTGGAGGCGATGTGGGCCACAGGGGACCTTCTTTAGGGGCCTTCCGGGTGGCTTGCGGGCGGGGCCGAAGCCCATGAGAAGTCTTTGGGACATAACCTCACAGCACCGGACGTCTGACACGCCATGCACCCCTGTGGCAAGACCGCAGGGGGGCGGCGGATCTGGTGGCCTTCGGCCCACCCCGTCACCGTGCCCGGGCTGCAGGTCAGAGGTCTCTCGGATACCTCTCTGACCTCCTTGGCCTCTGGGGAGGCCTCTCGGACGCCCCTTGGAGGCGGCTTTGGGGTGGTCTCTGGGCCTTGAGTGTCTCTTGGGTCCTTTTTCGGGCTTCTTGGGGGCCTCATGGGGCTCCTATGTGGGCCTCTTGGGAACCGGCTGGGGGTCTCGGGTGTCATCTTGAAGCGGAGGGCTCTAAATGTCAGTTCGAGTTCCCCCTCTTCGTGTCTCCTTGGGGCAGTCTTCCGGCTGTCTTGGGGGCCTCGTGGGCCGTCTGGAGGACGTTTTGGGGCGTTTGGTGGGCCAGTTGGGCCGTCTTGTTATTCCCAACCGTCCTGTGGTGTTGGGTCCTCGTTTTGAAGAGACAGCGCCCCGCGTTCCCACCTTCCCGCTGCCCCCCTCCCAGTGGGTGTGCCCGCATGCGTCCCCCACACCCATTTCGGCACACCCCTCACACGTTTCGTGGCCCCATAGGGAGCTCCACCGAAGGCCCCAGCGGGTGTGCCCGCATGCGTCCCGCACACACATTTCGGCACACCCCTCACACGCTTCGTGGCTCCATAGGGAGCCCCACCGAAGGTCCCAGTGGGTGTGCCCGCATGCGTCCCGCACACCCATTTCGATAAACCCTTCACACGTTTCGTGGCCCCATAGGCAGCTCCACCGAAGGTCCCTGTGGGTGTGCCCGCATGCGTCCCGCACACCCATTTCGGCACACCCCTCACACGTTTCGTGGCCCCATAGGGAGCTCCACCGAAGGTCCCAGTGGGTGTGCCCGCATGCGTCCCGCACACCCATTTCTGCACACCCCTCACACGTTTCGTGGCCCCATAGGGAGCTCCACCGAAGGTCCCAGTGGGTGTGCCCGCATGCGTCCCGCACACCCATTTCGGCACACCCCTCACACGTTTCGTGACCCCATAGGGAGCTCCACCGAAGGCCCCAGTGGGTGTGCCCGCATGCGTCCCGCACACCCATTTCGATAAACCCTTCACACGTTTCGTGGCCCCATAGGGAGCTCCACCGAAGGTCCCAGTGGGTGTGCCCGCATGTGTGCCCGCACGCACCCATTTCGGCACACCCCTCACACGTTTCGAAGGTCCCCGTGGCGCAGTCCGCACGCGTCTCCCCCACCCAGTACACCTCCGTCGGAGGCCGTCGGAGTTCCGCGCCTCCCTCGCCCGTCGTCGCTCTGCCCAGCGGGAAGAGCTTTGCCCGCTATCAGCCAGCCAGCTAGCTCTTTTTGCTGCGCGCAGCGGACGACCCGCGCGCGTCGCTGGGACCCCTCTGGGGCGACCTGCGCGCGTCGCTGGGACTCCGCGCTGCGCTGCGCCCGCAGCTTTGGACTTTTGAGTGCGCGGGCAAAGAGGGAGTAAAAGAAGGGGAGGAAGCGGGCGCGATCCTCGCGGTGGCGTCGTGGCGCGCGGGCGATGCCGTCGGGGAGTCCCGGGGAAGCTCCTTGCGGCGGCCACGCCCAGCGTCACGAGTACTCAGAGGCAGTCATTCACAAATTATTAGTATTCATATACAATTGCACCATGCATTGGCATACTCGCATTCATGCACGTAGACTCGCTCGCACGCAGATTCATTCACAGTCAGACGCACTCGCGCTCAGATTCACCCGCGCTCAGTCTCCCTACGTACTCAGATCAATCGTTTTCGTTCGCGTTGTGTACCACGCCATTCATTTCGGCACACCACTAGCACGGTTCATTGCCCCATAGGGATCACCACCGAAAAAGGGAATCACAATTGCGGTACTCACACCTGCATATGGTTGGGTCCTTCGTCTGGCTGATTATTTGGGGGGCCTGTGTGGGGGCCGCTTCGGAGTGTCGGAAGTCGAAAAAAGGCGAGATCGCTAAGATAGTTGAAGTATCCAGGGCCATAAATGATTTTGTCCTCTTAGGGGCCTCTTGAGCGCCCCCTAGGAGCCTTTTTGAGGGTTCTCGGGGGCTTCTCTGGCGGTTATGAAACCATCCTGGGTGTCTTGGAGAGCTCTTGGGCCTTCTTGGGGCGCTCTTGGACTGTTTCGGGAGCCTCTTGGGGCCTTCTTTGCTTGTCTTGGGGCTTTACTGTTCCGGGAAAAGTCTCGCGGGAACTCGCGACAAACCCCAAGATCGCCCGGGAACGCCTGGGAACACCCAGAATTCGACGCCGCGTGCCCCTCAGAGAGTATCACAATTTTCCCCAAACAGTTCTTGCACAAAGTATTACAATATTCGTCTGACTGTGCTTGCACAAAGGCTTCTTTCTAACTTCTGTTCTAAGGAACTGGGCGTGGGTGGCGGTCTGGCGGTAATGTGCTCACCATCGCCACCGCGTCGCAGCCTCGTCGCCGCCCGTTGTCTGGGCCTGGGTGGCGGTTTGGCGGCTATGTGCTGGCCGTCTCCGCCCCGTCGCCGCCTCGTCGCCGCCCGTCGTCTGGGCCTGGGTGCCGGTCTGGCGGCTATGTGCTATGTTGTCGCCGTCGCCGCTCCGTCCCCGGCTAAAGTGCACAATGTGAATTGCGCTGCATATATGTTCCTTTTTAGAAAGACAACCAGTACACTCTAATTACCTCCCCTGGAATGACCCCCCCCTTTGGCTGCCCCGCGGGCGGCCGTTGCGGCGCCCGCCGCGGCCCCCCTGCCCCGTTGCCTGAGGCTCCACAGGCCGCGCCGCCAGCTGGGCAGGGGGGCCTTCCCCCAGCGCCCGATCCTGCGCTCACCAGCGCATGGTTGGTGCACGCGTCCGGGTGCACTGTCCAGTCCCTGGGGCGACGCTGCGTCCTCCGCCGGCTGGGGGGGCCACCAAAGCATGCGTCCACACTTGAACGAGCACGCCGTCAGGCGATTCCCCGGGCTCCCGCCAGTCACGCCCGAGTACATGCAAGAACACCAATTGGAGCAGCGCTCGGTCTGC